GCCCGCTGCCGCCCCCTGCGGGTGGTCGCCGTGCCCTGCCAGCCTCAGGAGGCATGTGTCATTCATGCCCAGAAGAGAGCAGTGAATAAGTTTATTCCCCCCCACTCCCTCTCCTGCCCCACCAGCACAGACCTGCATTTCAATGCTGGCTGCTCCAGCAGTGGGGGCATGGCCAGCCCCAGCAGTAGCCTGGACTGAACTGACCAGGGAGGGGTTTAATTCCCCACTCTCTGTCTCACCCGCACAGACCCAAGCCAGGGTCTGTCAAACACTACCCCCTAACTGCAGTAGTGGTGGGAAAATGGCCCGATGCCGGCTGTCATGGCCCTCTGAGGCAGAGGGGGCAGGGAGGGGGGTTGTTCCTCCTTCTGCCCTCTCTGCCCCCAAGGGACTACAGCAGGGTCTGCTCACCCCAACCACCACTGCCACCCACTCCCTGCATGGGACAAGTGGCAGGATAAGCCCTTTCCTGCCCCCTCAGCCAGACACTGGAGGGAGGAGGAATAACCCTGCTCCCTGCCCCCGCCTAAGGGGTCATTCTGGCCAGCATGTGGCTGCACCCTGCCCAGCCCCTGGAGTGGTGAGGGGGCAGGGCCCCTAATGTGGGCATCAGCCCCTGCCCTAGTGTCCTAGAACATGAGCCTCTTCCTAGCAGTAGGGCCCCAAGTGGGGGTAAGAGATGCCATAGACTGCGCATGGCAGCACTGGGGCTCAGAGGGGACCATTGCCCCCCAAGGTTCCCCAGTATTGCCACTGGTACATGCCCACACAGTCCATGGCAGTTTTCCCTGTCCCGCAGTGTACCTCCCCTCTTCCCCCCCCGGAAGAGGCCCATGTTCTGGGACACTGTGACAGGGGCTGCAGCCCCCATCACAGTTGCTCCCCCCTCGCTGCTCCAGTGACCAGGTGGGGGAATGGCCAGTCAGCACAGCCCCTTAGGTGGGGGGGGAGGGAAAGGAGCAGGGTTATTTCCCCCCTCTGACCCCAGGGAACCGCATCAGGGTCTGCCTTCCCCAAATGCTGCCGCTGCCACCACTCGCTGCCTGCCCAACGCAAGCAGCAGGTTAAGCCCTTTCCTGCCCCCTCCACTGGACACTGGAGGGAGGGGGAATAACTCCATTTCCTGCCCCCTGCCTAAGGGGCTCTGCTGGCCAGCCTCTGGCCATGTCCCTGCCTGGCCACTGGTGTGGCAAGGGGTGAGCAACTGTGACAGAAGCTGCAGCTCAGACCACAAGCCTCTTTCTGGTGGGGGGCGGCACTGAGAGGCAGGGGGGGCGGGCGCCGACAGGGCAGGG